ATATAAAGTCATAGTGTACACAACAATCTCTGGGCTTGCTGCATCACAAATATGCAAATTTTAACAATTTATAAAAAAAATGAATCACTTTCTGGCCATTGGATATTAGGCATGGACATATATATTGCGATGGTGATTATCGAGAGTATTAAATCGCTTTGTAAACGTTTATTATCTACATTTCATGAGTCTCCCCATACAGCTGAATAGAGCGTTTGGACCCGGAAGCCGATTCGCGTGACATCACACTTAACAAGCGGATTGGCTACAAAACGAACTGTTGTCCAATGACATGCCTAATCAATAGAGGCGGAAGTCTTAGCCTATTTTTTCCCATTTTGCATTTATCTCTTTACATCTTAACTAGAATTAGTGTTACTACTTGTGTTCAATGATTCGAATTTTCCAACTTATTTATTTTGTTAAAGGATCATGAACATATATATCTATATATATATATATATATATATATATATATATATATATATATATATATATATATATATATATATATATATATATATATATCATATATATATATATATATATATATATATATATATATATATATATATATATATATATATATATATATATATATATATATATATATATATATATATATATATATATATAATATATATATGTGTGTGTGTGTGTGTGTGTGTGTGTGTGTGTGTATATATAAATAATTTTTTTTGTTTTGTGCTTAGGGTTTAACACCAGTGGGCCCAATTTTTTTTTTATCTCGCCTAGGGCCCCTCTACCCTACAGGCCGGCACTGGCACACAGACATATTATGCTTTATCATAATAATTACACTTCAAAGTTCTGTTATAATGCCAGTCTGTGGAGTCTAATAAAATGCACACCATATAGAAGCTTCTTACATGCTTCCATACCAAATCTGAAATCGAGGGGCACAGGACACGGTTCATGTAACTAGTTAAAATTGCATATTTTACTTGATTTGAACATTCTCAAAACATTAAGATAATGTACGTACATAATTCAGCAGAATACTGTATATAACACTAGGGGTATTTTATTTTCAAAAAAGACAAAAAAACCAGACAGTTCAGAAATGACTCACTACAGTTTTGTTTTCTGCTTCCAAAGCATAGGATCACAACAGGGATCATTCTGAAGTCACACAGTGTCTAGGAGGATGTGAAATTAACAAGTTCATGATTCAATGAAATCACGGTTCAAAAAAAGTGGAACAGAACATTTTCTTAACCCTCGTGTGCTCTTGGGGATGTTTTTGTGATTTGTCAAGTGGAATAATATTTAGTGATGAATCTTATTTTGACACATATGTTGGGCAATTGCAAAAGTTTTCAAAAACTCAATAACAGACTCGGATTTAAAACAATAATTATTTACATTTATATAGTGTTTTTCTAGACACTAATAGCGCTTTACACATTGGGGGAATCTCCTCATCCACCACCAGTTTGTGTGTGGATGACACGACGGCAGCCATATTGCGCCAGACCACACACCACACACCAGCTGATTGGTGGAGAGAAGATGCATTTGGCCAGGATGCAGGGGTTAAACCCCTACTCTTTGTCAAAGAACATCCTGGACATTTACTATCCTTTCGTTATGTTGGGGGCTATTTTTGCCCCATTGACTTCCATTATAACCCCATTTTTTGAACGAAAAGCCATGGCAGCATATAATCATGCACTCTTGATTGTTGGTGGTTTTCTAAGTTGGGAAGATGTAAATTTTATCATTTTTACTGTTGATCATCAATTAACCCTTGGATCGAAACATTTCCTTTGTCTGTCTGTCTACAGGATTTTACATCTTTGTGTGGATGTGTGCAACAACGATGAAAAACGGAAGGCAGTCACTTCAATCCAAGACTAAATCCACTGTGGACGTCTCCAGATAAGGACTACTCATGTTGTTTTCTTACTGAAACCTCTTTTATGTGACATTTTACAAGACATTATCCAGCTACATCCACAGAAAAGCACCATCCCCTGTGACCCCCTTTTTCTTTTGCAAGAGTGCTGACTTCCTTTGCTCCAATTCAGCACATAAACATCAAATAAAATGAAGCTTCCTTTTTCTAACTCAAATTAAGACTTTAAAATATGATTTGTCTCATCTTATCTTAGACCTGCTTATTTATTGTGAGAAAAAAAAAATTATAAATAAATGCTGTGATTTGTGAATAAAAAGCACTTTTAGTATTTATTATAGTAAATGTCTATTGGAAACATTACAATAACGTTCTCCATTGTAGTTTTTTTAATTTTTACCCTTTAATACACCTTAGTGTTCTGTGACGGTAAGTAAAAAGCTTATGGAGTCATAGTTCCTTACTTTTGCAATGAAATGCAGTTCACAATGTCGCACAGGAAACCACAGAATCACATGAGACCTGCGTTTAAAGTCATTGTCGTGCACTCACTACAGCATAGCATTCAAGGCAGAAATGAAAGGCTTATACTGTTTCGTTGTTTGGATATTTTCCTCCACAATATGGACTGGAGCAGGTGAGTCAATAACATTTCACCTCCTGATTAATAGCACTGTGTTGTCACTCGAAACTTGTGGGTTTGACAAAAAAAAAAAAAAAAAGTTGGTCACACTTTATTTTGATGATTAGTTTTGTTGAATTTAAGTTACATTGCAACTAGTTCTCATTAGATTATAAGTAGACGACTGTTAAGTTGGATTCAGGGTTAGTTAGTGTAAGTTGACAGGTACTTACAAAGTTTCTTATAGTCAGTTAAATGTCTGTTAAAGGAGCAGTATCATATTAAGCAGACAATCTACTAATACTCAAACGAACCATCAAAATAAAGTGTTACAAATGGGGTTTACAAACCCATATAGGAAAATGATAATCACATATATAGGCAAATTACATAAATACTAGCTGTTATTTGAACTTTACTTAACAAAATATATGGCATATATGCTAAATATATGTCAAAATAT